TTTTAGTATGATCAACATAGGAAAGAACACGTTTAAAACATGAGCCACTCGGTCAAAAAGCACTTCAAAACTGCCCCATGCTTGGTCACTGCAGCACAATTGGCATGCTTTGACTTCAGGCGCCAGACATAGTGAGTTACCCCCTGTCGGGAACTCACAGGTCTCCAAGCCTGTCCAACCAATAGGGTGCGTGGAATAATTTTCACCTTTGAAGTAGATGAGCATCCCCTGTCTCACTGGCCATTCTCATGGTTGTTAAAGGAAATGGAGAAGAAGATGAGACTCCTGAGGGAAAGCACCGAAGAACTGCGCAAGGAAGTAATTCAGAAGAGACTAGAAATCAAAATCCTCCGGGAAGACCTGGCGTCCAAGCAGAAGCAGCTAACAAAGGAGCAGAAGGAGCTGGAGGAGGTGCTGGAGTGTCAGGTTGGCCTGAAGGTGCGCTGTGGGCAGTCCGTGGGTGTTCAAGCATGGCGTGGGCACATGTGGGAGACCAGCGCCAACAGAAGTACCGCTTACCAGGGTAAGGGTGGGGATAGAAACACCGTGTCTGTGTGGGCATGTGTCGGAGACCAGCGTCAACAAAAATACCGCTTACCAGGGTAGGTGCACGGGATTAGAAAAGTTAGCAAAGGGTACGAAGACATGAGTGAAAATAATGAAACAGAAAGCATAGGATAGTACTGGGAAGGAGCTCCAGTGAGTACTGAAATGTTTTATGTTGAATTTCCATTTGCTTAAAACACCCTGACCCCAAAAGGAAGGAGTAAGATTTAAAAAAAAAAAACTGCATTAACATGATACAAGGAAATGACCAGACCAATTGAAGGTTGCAGGCTACATTCTTAGTTAAACATTCTGTTCTTAGGACAAGACAAGTCACACTCATACCCCAGACCAAAGCATTCTGTAAGCAAACCACTCCCTGTGTGGAATCCAGTGTTATCTCCTTAAGGGAGTAGGAACTTAGTTGGATCATTAGAGTTTTGTTTGGGATTATCAACTTTTCTATTTCTGAAAAACAACATCTGGATAGTAACTACACCTGTTGGCAATAGCCTTGAGAGAGCAGGACACTCTAATCTCAATCAAGGTGGACCTTTGAGGTAGAAACACCACAACCTTGAAGGAACAGAAGTAAGTTCCAACCCTCTGACCTTTGGTCAGGGTGGAAATAGGCTCACATTTTTGGGCCTCCACAGGCCTAAAAAAACACATGGGATGAGGGTAGCTACTTGCATGTGACCAAAAGAACTATCACACTAACTACAAGGTTGTGTATCATGAAGGACTCTGCCAAAGGCAACCTCAATTCTGGGAATTTATAAAGGGCATGAGGGTGTTTGGTAGGAAAAGACATGCAAAAGCATGATAATACTGTCCCAGTGTGAAGGCCGACCCCTGCAGAGCTGGCCTTCAATGTTTGAAGTGCGTGTCACAAGCACACGATTCCTTGCAGGAAACACCACCTGAGTCCTCTCCACCCTTGTGTGACTGACTCCATTCTTCCTGTAAAGTGATGAGGACCCCGTATTAATGTTTTAGGGAAAAAAAATATGGATTGAAATTAATTTCATTTTGGAAAATACATAATAATTCTCAAGAATCTAGAGTTATTTAAGGGATAGCTCCCAAAAATCACTGGCTTAGAAAATACTCGCAGTTCCCTAAGATACTGGCCTGTCCCTAAGATCTCATGGCAGGAACTCACAGCTCGCCCATCTTATCCGGGGAAACAGCATCTGAGGAGAGTCCTTTGCCCAGAGCACCGTGGACCTCCAGCTCCAGCCCCATCACCTGCAAGGGTTCCTCCCAAGGGTTTAGACCTGAGTTAGCAGTTATAACCTTCTTACTTCAAGAGGGTCTCCCAAATTGCTAAGCTACAGCCCTGTGAAGCCTGGCTAGAAAGCTCCAGGACTGAGCAGAGAAGCACTCCATCCCGTCAGGGCGGAGCTGTGTTTAACTTCCATACTCACACGTGGTTCCAGACCTCGGAATCTGGTCAACACCCTGGATACAAACGGTCTTGGTCACCACGTTTCCTGTCAGTCTCAGGCGAGGCTCCCCAGATGAGGCTCCCCAGACAAGACTCCCCAGAAGCAGCGTCCAAGGCAGTCAATGCAGGAGAAGCCCACAGGGCTCCGAGCTGAAAGAGAAGGCAGGCTGGGTCCAGGTTCTGCGGTGCAGCTCTAGTCTCAGCCTGGCCTCAGAGAGCCCTGGATCTTGAATTGAACCACAGAGGCTTTTCTCTCGAGGAGCATAGGGCACTATCTCATTGCATGGGCAATGGTGGCAGCCTCCTCCGTCCTTCTTCCCACCTCTCCCACCGCAGGGGAAGGGACTTTTAGCAGGGCGCAGCAGGAAAGGGAACTCTTAGCAGGGCACAGCAGGAAAGGGGACTCTTACCTCACTCTGTCCTCCTCTTTTTGAGATAGTGACAAGCGTAATGACCTTATAAGGTCACTGTGACTATTGGGAGAAATAAAATACACTGGGTAAATGGTAAGAGTTCTGCAAGTTTTAATTTCCCTCTCATTTAATTTGCTTGCTTAATTGACTGCATAACTTAGCATGATTGTGTTTCTTTCCTAGGACGATGTGGTCCACCATCAAACTATTCCTGTCCAAATTACAAAGGAGATAGAAAAAATGACACGCAAGAAAACGTACGGCTTTAATACTTTTGTTCTGAGTCCCTTCTAAGCAACCCTCTTCCAAACGACGTGTGTGCGTGTTATGACTTTGGGAAATTATAACCTTGGAACTATCTGACCCCAGTGCCTCCTAGGCTCTGTGTATTGGGAATTTTAGAAGGAAGTAATACAGCAAATGATAATCTCTATTTCTGCTCCAACCTATGAACTGTATTTCTATGGGGGCCTTCAGCAGCTTCTTCAGGGCTGGAGGTTGACTTTGAACTCAGACTGTAATAGCGAAGGGTGCTCAGGCAGCCAGCAGCCCAAAAGACAGCAACTCCTCACCGCGCACCTGCTCACCCTCAGGCACTCAGAGTAGATTCAGATGTGAAGACCATTGAGAAATTCTCAGGATTTCAGTGATCAAAAAGAAAATGAAAGGTTGGTGTCGCAAGCTTTGTTGTCAGCTGCCTGCTATGACATAGAGATTTATTATTAATTGTGGAAGCTTGGCCTTAGCTTAGACTTACCCCACTAGTTCTTATAACGTAAATTAACTCATTGTTTTTAATCTAAGTTTTGCCTTGGGGCTCTTTACCTTTCTTTCATTCTGCGTGTGCCCCTCCCTTCACGTCACACTGTGCCTGATGAGTGCCTGGGGGCCCCCTTCCTCTCTCTGCCTGAAGTTCCGCCTGTGTCTCCTGCCTAGCCATTGGCCAGTCAGCTCTTTATCGAGCCAGTAAAATATCTTCACACAGTGTGCAAACATGTCACAACATTCAACACAGATTACTATAAATGGGTTAATTTCAGTTATATGAGCTAGTTGAGACAAGCCTAAGATAAAGGCCAAGGTTTCACAAGTAAGGTAAATCTCATATCATTATTTGGGAGCTGGCTGGTGGGACAGGTTAGTGCATATAAAAGTATTCTAGAGAAATAATATGATTACTCTAGAAATCAATCCTAAAAGAGTACCGGAAAATGAAGCAGTATGATTCTAAAACCCAGGGTTACCAGAAGCAAAGTTAGGAAAGTCAAACCTGGTCCAGGAAGCCAGCCAGGAGGAAAGGAGATACTACAGGTGACAGAGATTGGGGCATGAGGAGAAAACAGAATGAGCAAATGCCTGCCCTCACGGGCATTCGGGGAAGTTATCCCCTGTCCTGGTTTCATTTTGTTTGTGTGATAAAATACTCTGACAGAGAGCAATTCAGGGAAGAAAGCAGTTTATTTCAGCCTACAACTCCAGGTTATGGGCCCTCAGCATGTGGCAGCCAAAGCAGGGAATCACAGCACATCCGGAGTCAAGAGCAGAGAAAACATGAAAGCGTGAATGCTCCCTAGCTTGTCTGAACTCAGCTCCATTTCTTCCCTGTTACACAGTATGGGACCTGCCTGCCTAAGGAATGGTGCTGCCCACAGTGGACTGTGTCTTCCCGTGTCAGTTTACAGACATGCCTGTGGGTCAGATATCCTATACACTAGGTATTTACATTATGATTAATAACAGCAAAATCCCAGTTAAGAAGTATCAGTGAAATAATTTTATGGTTGGGGTTCACCACGTAGTAAAGGGTTGCCACAGGTTAGTCCAGCGTAGACAGTTCCTCATTCGGACTCTCTTCCCAGGTGTTTCAAGCTGATGAAGAAAGTTAACACCACACCTCCCATGTTCCTCTCCCTTTGGCCTTCACACCTTTCTGAGATCAGCGACTGATGACAGGCGTAGTTTTGCCTGATAATAATGGGTAGAGATAGCACGAACTCAAAACTAAACCCCCTTACTTCTGTCTGTGTGTGTTCCTACAGAGAAATGGAAAAGAAAAATATCGTCTTGGAATATGAAGTGAAAGAGCTGAACGGGTCTTTAAAGAAGCTGGAGAACAAAGTCAATGCTCTGGCAGAAGAGAAGGATGACGTCATGAAGGAAGTGGAGGGCAAGCGGGCCCTCCTGGAAGTGAAGGAACGGGAGTATAACCAGCTACTTAAGATGGTGGAGTTAACCAAAGAGAGTGAAGCATCCTCGCTAGCTGAAAGGTTACTTCTGTGTCTGTCATCTTTGTTTTAACCATGTCCCGTCATCTGCATTTTAATCAATGCAGTCTTGAAGGTTCAAAGCACTGTCAACTGATTGTATGCAATTCAATAGCAAGTTGTAGAATTTTAAATCAATTTGTCCCCATTAAGTTACCATCAAAACATTTTGAAGCACATTTTTCTACACTTTAATCGCAATTTTCCTCCATTCTATGTGTAGTATAACTAAGGAAGTCCACAAGATCCTGTAATAAAAGATAACAAGTGCTTATTGATGAGCTCACAATCAGAGAGTCCTGCGGTCCTCTGCTCTGTGGGTGCTGGGAGCTGCAAACCGAACTCTGACCACCAATCAAGCACTAGGGAAAAAAAGGGCTGAGCATTCTTCCTGCCTGTGCTTACAATACCTCAGACCACGTCCTGTGGACTGGTGTCCAAGAGGCTATTGGCTGAATGAAATCCCACAACACCTCCCCCTTGTCTAAACAAGAAAGCTCTAAACCTAAAACAAAACTATATACAATGAGAACAAATATCAAGTATTATCCAGGAAAAAGAAAAGGCGAAAACTTACACAAGACTAGGACTACAACCAACTGAACAACATCAAGCAAGAAACACACACTAAATGTCCAGTCTAAGGTATGTAGCAAATAGCAGATCATTTCAATAGCTGTCCTAGCCCAAGGAGACCAAGTCTTATCATCTAAGTCATGAGAGGAAAGTACCTATGACTATCTATCTTCAACCCCATCAGAGACCTATCTCGAGCAGTTTGTAACCCCAAGCCGATCTTACAGTGGTGCTATCAGCTGAATGGTATCCTATGAATCAGGTGGAATTGTTGTTGTGGGGCCCCATCTTCTTCCTGGAGACGTCAGAGATTGCTGCAGGAAAATTTGTTGTTCATTGTGAAAAACTCAAACATCATTCATAGGAAACCGGAAAGTTTGATCAAAACATTTTAAATCACAGTTTTCCTCAATTCCATGGTTCCAGATTTAAGAATAAAATGTTTGCTGTAAGTGTGGGGAATTATGTCCCTGGTCTGGGCTGTGGAGTCCAGAGATTTTCCTGTCAATGAGTGGTGTTCCTGACTTAATCCCAGCCTTTGCTGGCTGAGGGAGATTTCCGGGTGGGATGCCCTACCGGAGCACGTACTTTTAAGTGTGCACACACATGTATTCACTAGAGTGTAGGGACCAGAGGGCACAACCTCTGTCGTCCCTCTTGTATTTGAGAAAGTCTCTCCTCGGGCTGGGACCTTAGACTGCCTTAGGCTACACTGGCTGGCTAGTGAGCTCCGGGGAACTGTCTTCACCGCTCCACACTGGGATTACAAATGGGCTCCCTCACTCACAGCTGATTACATGGATATGGGGCCTCGCCCCCATGTTGGTGAGGCAGGCACCTTACCAACTGCAGAATCTCCCTAGCCCCTGACTTTCCTAAGTGCAGGGTTTGAACCCCGGGCTTCGGTCCTGGGATGTAAGTGCTCCACCACTGAACTTTTCTCTCGGCCTTACTTCGTACATTTAGGGAAAATCTAAGGAAACTTGAGACCTATGTCTCCCCAGCCCATCGTTACTTTTGGGGAGTTTATAGGATCATATTTCTAAGTGATACCAATACCCCAAACTGGCTACTGTGGGCATCGTTCAGGATTTATGGTGGTTATATAAGAAAAGGTCTCTGTATACCCTTGAGTGTGCTGTCTTTGATAAGACAGTGGGGGACATCACTTTCACCTTTGCCCTTGATCCGGACAGAGGGATCTTGGAACTCAATCTTCGAAACTGTCTCATCGACAAACAGAACTACCATGACGAGCTTTCTCGTAAGCAAAGGGAGAAAGAACGAGATTTTCGAAACCTGAAGAAGACAGAGCTACTCCTGAAAGTGTCCTTGGATGCGCTAAATCAGACACAAGCCCTGAATCAAAGGCTTCTACTTGAGGTGGGTGTGAGAAATCTTAAAATCTAGGACTTTAAGCCTAGGGCGCTCTTTCGAAGAGCGCTAGGATTTTGCTATCAGTAGAAAGAGAAGGAAAAGGTAGCAGTGGGTGGCAATGTGAGGATGCACCATCCTGTTAGACTGCTGGTGGTCCTGGAATGTTTCCCACCTCTTTTTCTAACCCAAGACTGGCCAAATGTTTTGTTTTGATTGGGTAGGGAAGTAATGGAACCAGCCAGTTTTGGAAGGGCCTAGACTCTAGACCTTTCAGTATATAGTATACAGCATACAGTATACAGAGGGTGCATTATACAATATACAGCATACAGTATACAGATGGTGCAGTATACAGCATACAGTATACAGAAGGTGCAGTATACAGTATACAGCATACAGTCTACAGAGGGTGCAGTATACAGTAGACAGCATGCAGTATACAGAGGGTGCAGTATACAGTATACAGCATACAGTATACAGAGGGTGCAGCAGACAGTATACAGTATACAGCATACAGCATACAGAGGGTGCAGTAGACAGTAAGGCTAAGCTAGTTTTTCTTTCAGGTTCTTTGAAGGAGTAATATGTGCAGTTTTTTTCCTTCCTTTCCTTTTTTTTAATTAAGAATTTTACACATAAATACCTTGCAATATGATCACATCCATTCTGTCTCCATTTTTTTCTTTTTTAAATTCCCGATTTTCCTGGTTCTTTCTTTCTTTTTTTAAATTTGCCTTTCCTGAACTCTACATTTTTCTCTGATCCCCTCCCTTCTCCTCCCCTCCCCTTCTACCCTCTCCCATGGTCCCCATGCTCCCAATTTACTCAGGAGATCTTGTCTTTTCCCCCTTCCATGTAGATTAGATCCATGTATGTCTCTCTCAGGATCCTCTTTGTTGTCTAGGTTCTCTGGGATTGTGAATTATAGGCTGGTTTTCTTTGCTTTATGTCTAAAAGTCACTTACAAGTGAGTACATATTATAATTGTCTTTCTGGGTCTGGGTTACCACACTCAATATGATGTTTTCTATATCCATCCATTTGCCTGCAAATTTCAAGATGTCATTGTTTTTTTTCTGCTGTGTAGTACTCCATTGTGTAAATGTACCACATTTTTCTTATCCATTCTTTGGTCGAGGAGCATTTAGGTTGTTTCCATGTTCTGGCTATGACAAACAACGCTGCTATGAACATAGTTGAGCACATGTCCTTGTGGCACGATTGAGCATCCTTTGGATATATACCCCAAAAAAGTGGTATTGCTGGGTCTTGAGGTAGGCTGTTTTCTAATTTTCTGAGAAATCGCCACAGTGACATCCAAATGGGCTGTACCAGCTTGCATTCCCACCAGCAATGCAGAAGTGGTAACGTTTCCCCACAACCTCTCCAGCATAAGTTGTCATCAGTGTTTTTGATCGTGGCCATTCTTAACAGGTGTAAGATGGAATCTCAGAGGTGTCTTGACTTGCATTTCTCTGATAGCTAAGGATGTTTAGCATTTCCTTAAGTGTCTTTCAGCCATTTTAGATTCCTCTGTTGAGAGTTACCTGTTTAGGTCTGTACTCCATTTTTTTATTGGATTATGTGATCTTTTGGTGTCCAATTTCTTGGGTTCTTTGTATATTTTGGAGATCAGACCTCTATCTGATGTGGGGTTAGTGAAGATCTTTCCCATTCTGTAGGCTGTCGTTTTGTCTTGTTGACCGTGTCCTGTGCTTTACAGAAGCTTTTCAGTTTCAGGAGGTCCCATTTATTAGTTGTTTCTCTCAGTGTCTTTACTACTGGGATTATATTTAGGAAGTGGTTCCCTGTGCCAATGCGTTCATGTATACTTCCCACTTTCTCTTCTATAAGGTTCAGTGTGGCAGGCTTTATGTTAAGGTCTCTGATCCGTTTGGACTTGAGTTTTGTGCATGGCGATAGATATGGGTCTATTTTCATTATTCTACATGTTGATATCCAGTTATGCCAGCACCATTTGTTAAATATGCTTTTTTTATTTTGCATCTTTTGCTTCTTTGTCAAAACTCAGGAGTTCATATTTGTGTAGATTGATATTCGGGTCTTCTATTCGGTTCCATTGGTCCTCCTGTCTGTTTTTATGCCAACACCAGGCTGTTTTCAGTACTGTAGTAGAGTTTGAAGTCAGGGATTGTGACGCCTACAGAAGTTCCTTTATTGTACAGAGTTGTTTTAGCTATCCTGGGTTTTTGTTTTGTTTTGTTTTTCCATATGAAATTGAATATTGTTCTTTCTAGGTCTATGAAGAATTTTTCTGGGATTTTGATGGGCATTGTGTTGAATCTGTAGATTGCTTTTGATAAGATTGACATTTTACTATGTTAATTCTACCTACCCAAGAGCATGGAAGATTTTCTATTTTCTGGTGTCTTCTTCAATTTCTTTCTTCAAAGATTTAAAGTTCTTGTCATACAGGTTTTCCACTTGTTTGGTTAGAGTTATTCTGAGATATTTTAGGCTATTTGTGGCTATTATGAAGGATGATGTTTCTCTGATTTCTTTCTCAGTCGATTTATCATCTATGTGAAGGAGGGCTTCTGATTTTTTCCAAGTTAATCTTATATCCTGCTACATTAATGAAGGTGTTTATGAGCTGTAGAAGTTCCTTAGTAGAATTTTTGGGGTCACTTATGTAACTATTATATCATCAGCAAATAGTGAGAGTTTGACTTCTTCTTCCCCTGTTTGTATCCCCTCAATCTCCTTTTGTTGTCGTATTGCTCTAGCTAGGACCTCAAGTACATATTGAGTAGATATGAAAAGAGTGGACAACATTGTCTTGTTCCTGATTTCAGTAAGATCGCTTTGAGTTTCTCTCCATTTAGTTTGATGTTGGTTGTTGGCTGGCTGTATAATACCTTTAATATGTTTAGGTATGTTCCTTGTATCACCACTCTCTCCAAGACATTGAAGGGATGTTATATTTTGTTGAAGGCTTTTTCAGCATCTAATGAGATGATCATGTGGTTTGTTTGTTTTTCTTTTTCAGTTTTTTTTTTCAGTTTTTCAGTTTGTTTGTTGGTGGATTACACTGACAGATTTTCGTAAGTTGAAACATCCCTGCATCTCTGGGATAAACCCAACTTGATCATGGCAGATGATTTTTCTGCTATGTCCTTGAATTCAGTTCACCAGTATTTTATTGAGTATTTTTGCAGCAATGTTGTTGAATGAGGTTGGTCTGTAATTCTCTTTCTTAGAAATATCTTTGTGTGGTTTGGATATCTGGGTAATTGTAGCCTCATAAAAAGAGTTTGGCAATGTTCCCTCTGTTTCCATTGTGTGGAACAATTTGAGGAGTATTAGTATTAGTTTTTCTTTGAAAATATTCTAGATTTCTGCAATGAAATCATCTGGTCCTGGACCTTTTTTGATTGGGAGACTTTTGATGACTGATTCTATTTCTTTAGCAGTTATAGGTCTATCTAATTTGCTTATCTGGTCTTGATTTAATTTTGGTAAATGATATTTATCTAGAAAATTGTCCCTTTCCTTTAAGATTTCCAATTTTGTGGAGTACAGGTTTTTGAAATATGACCTGATGATTCTCTGGATTTCCTCCCTGTCTGTTGTTAATGTCCTCTTTTTCATTTCTGATTTTGTTGATTTGGATAGTCTCTCTCTGCCTTTTGGTTAGTTTGGATAAAGCTTTGTCTATTTTGTTGATTTTTTTAGAAGAATCAACTCTGTCTCATTGATTCTTTTCTTTGTTTGTGTTCTGTTACCTCACTAGTGTGGGATATTTCCAGCTTCTTATGTAGGTGTTTAGTGCTATGAACTTTCCTCTTAATACTGCTTTCACTGTGTCTCATAAATTTGGGTGTGTTGTGTGGCCATTTTCATTGAATTTTAGGAAGTCTTTAATTTCCCCCTTTATTTCTTCTTTGACCCATTGATGCTTCAGGTGAGTATTGTTTAATTTCCATGTGTTTGTGGGCTTTTTGAATTAGCGTTGGGCTGAATTCTAATTTTAAGCCATGAGATCTGATAAAATACAAAAAAAATGGAATACCAATTTTTTTGTATCTGTTGAGGTTTTTTTCATTACTGAGTATGTGGTCAATTTTTGAGAAGGTTCCATGAGGTGCTGAGAAAAAGGGTATACTCTTTTATGTTTGGATGGAATGTTCTATAGATGTCTGTTGAGTCCATTTGAGTCATAACATCTTAGTTCCCTTATTTCTCTGTCCATTTTTTTTTCTGACTGACCTGTCCAGTAGTGAGAGGAGAGTGTTGAAGTCCCACTGGTAGTGTGTGGGGTTTAATGTATGATTTAAGCTTTAAAAGTGTTTCCTTTACATATGAGGGTGCCCTTGTATTGCGGGCACAGATGTTCAGAATTGAGATTTCCTCTTGATGGATTTTTCCTGTGACGATCAGGAAATGTCTCTCTTTGTCTCTTTTGATTGATTTTAGTTTGAAGTTCATTTTGTTAGATATTAGGATAGCTATGCCTGCTTGTTTCTTAGTTCCATCTAATTGGAATTTTTTTCCCAACTCTTTACTCTGAGGCAGTGTCTGTTTCTGAGGTTGAGGTGTGTTTCTTGTATGCAGAAGAGGGATAGATTCTGTTTTCATATCCAATCTGTTAATCTGTGTCTTTTTATAGGTGAGTTGAGTACATTAATGACGAGTGATTGCTAGTTCCTGTTATTTTAATTTTTGTTGTCTGTGATGTTATTGTGTGTGTGTGTGTGTGTGTGTGTGTGTGTGTGTGTGTGTGTGTGTGTGTTTCCCTTCTTAGGGATTTGCTGCTGTGAGATCATCTATTGTCTGTGTTTTTGTTGATGTAGCTAACTTCCTTGGGTTGGAGTTTTCCTTCTAGTACTTTTTGTAAGACTGAGTTTGTGGCTAGGTATTAGTTAAATCTGGTTCTGAAATGGAATATCTTGTTTGTCCTTCTATGGTGATCGACAGTTTTGCTGGATCTAGTAGTCTGGGCTGGCATCCGTGGTCTGCATAACACTTGACCAGGACATTCTGGCTTTCGTTGTCTCCATCAAGAAGTCAAGTGTAATTCTGATAGGTTTACCTTTGTATGTTACTTGGCCTTTTTCCTTTGCAGCTCTTAATATTCTTTCTTTACTCTGTATGTTTAGTGTTTTGATTATCATGTGGCGAGAGGACTTTTTATTTGGATCCAGTCTATTTGGTGTTGTGTATGCTTCTTGTGTCTTCATAGGCATATCTTTTTTTTTAGGTTGGGAAAGTTTTCTTCTATGATTTTATTAAATGTATTTTCTGTGCCTTTGAGCTGGAATTCTTCTATCTCTATTATTCTCAGGTTTGGTCTTTTCATGGTGCCCCATATTTCCTGGATATTTTGTGTTAAGCCTTTGTTAGGTTTAATGTTTTCTTTGACTGATGAGTCTATTTTCTCAATTGTATCATCAGCACTTGAGATTTCCTTTTCCATCTCTTGTATTCTGCTGTTTATGCTTGCATTTGTGGTTCCTGATCGTTTTTCTCATGATTTCTGTTTTTTGTGTCCTCTTTGTAAATTCTTTTTAGAAGTCGCTGTCTTGCAACAGATCTCCTGGTCCTCTGGCACTGACAACCTTTCTGCCTCCTCTTCCCCTGAGCCTCGGCTGTAGGGTTGTGCTGGAGATGTACTGGTGGGGGCTGGGCACTCCTCACTCAGTTGTCCTCTGGATTCTGACCAGTTGATGTTTCCCATGATGCTCTCTGTCTGCTGTGGAAAGGAGTCTCTAGATGAGGGTGAGCGCCGCACTTCACTGTGGCTACAAGGGCGAGTATGCGGTGTGCACTTAGAAATTATTCTGTCTCAGGAAAGTGGAGGCAGTTGGTTGTCACCTACGTTCCATGACCTCATCAGTCACGAGGCGCCTGGAGAGGCTGGAGAGGTGGCTCTGAGGTTAAGAGTATTACCTGCTCTTTCAGAGGTCCTGAGTTCAATTCCCAGCAACCACATGGTGGCTTCTAACCACCCGTAATGAGGTCTGGTGTCCTCTTCTGGCCTGCTGGCATACATGCATGTAGATCACTGTATACATAATAAACAAATCTTTCACTAGGTAGGAATGCCCTCCTATTGATGGTTTAAGTCAATCGGGTAGCTATGACTACACCCCTAGGATACAAATGTCACTACTGCACAAAAGTACAAATTAACACAGTAGAAGTATAACGGCAGAAGTGTAGGCGGTCGTGAGTGTGCAGTATTCAGAGTGTGCAGGGGTCAGAGGGTGTGACTGTCAGAGGGTGCGACTGTCAGGCAGGGCAGTGTCTATCTGGGCTTCACCTATACCACTGAGGCAAGTCCGTCAGTATCTCTCCCAAACAACTGGATGCCTCATGACATTTGTGAGGGGTCAGTAAGAGCATGCGTCTAGGCCCCACACCACCACAAGTTTAGATGATGCTCACTAAATGTCAGCTATTAAGATTTACTTATAAAGGATAAAACATTTGTAGCTAACAGATTGTGTAATTTTGGTAGATCTTCATATTTTACTTCACGTTAATTTTATAAAAAAATAACCAGAGTAGGAAGTGCCCGTGTGATCAGGAATCACGCTTTGCCTGCCTGTTTCAGAAAGTGTGTTGAGAGTATGGTATTGGACAGTATATTTGTAACAATGCCTATTTTAAATTCTAACTTCCAGATTGAAGCTATCCCTAAGGATGACCTTCTGTTGCCTGAGAGAAGGAGAGACCTCCAAAAGGAAGTTGAATTAGCTAAGAGGAATCTGGCTCAGCAGGTTAGCACCCCACTCATTTACAGGGCTGTCTCAGATCGGGGTACAGAGCTGTGTTTCTAAAATGCTCCACAAACAGCACATCAAAGAGCGATGGCAGCCGGGAAGGTCGATACTATCAAACCGTGACGGTGTGCATCTGTAGATGCCACCGTGAAACCCATCCGTGTGTATGGCAGCATGCACAAATGATGTGCATCCATTTGTAAAGTAGTCTGTGCTGCTGGAGCGCTATCTTGTCTTCAAAGGGCCTACTTCTTCCTTACGGGGAGGGTTACTGAGGATTTAGTGTAGTGCCTCACACATGCTAAGCCAAGTCAATCACTGATGAGCACACACACACACACACACACACACACCATCCGCGTCTTACCAAGTGGTCTGTCACTACTGAACACACACACACACACACACACACACACACACACACACACCATCCTTATCTTAAAGTTCATTCCCCACTGGTTTTACCCCCTGAAGGAGGGGCGAAGGATGTGCTTGACGTGGCCAACCTTTACAGGCTATTAAGATTGCTCGAATAAAAGGGCTATTGATTGCATTAAAAGTCAAACTGTTCCACCAATGTCTATTTTCAAATTCCAAACTTTGTCATTCAAACTGCTGTTGAATATTTAAGTATTTTAAGACAATGTTCAAAGCCCTTCTAGTTACTTGAAACCACACTGAGGTAAAGGTTGGTTTCGCTGACCCACAAGTTCGCATCCTTCGTACAGCAGAGGAGAAAACCCAGAGTACAGACTTTGGGAGACTTTGCTCTCCCTGTTGATAAGCACAAAAGGAAGACAGTGCTTTCTGCCGGCCTGACGGTGCTCCTTCCAAAAATGGTTTATGCTCCTGTGCTTTCCCAAAGAGAAGCCTATCAGAAGCGGAGGCGAGGCTGGTGGAGCAGCAAATCGCAGAGGAAAACAAGCTTTTAAAGGAACAAGAGCACATGCGAGACCTGGTGTTCAACCTGGGGCGAATGACTCAGCTCAAAATTGATGAGCGGGAACAAAAGTCTAAGGATTTCCTGAAAGCCCAGGTAACTGCTTTCTTATTGCCACTCATTAATTACCACAAAGGTTCAAGGGAGCCTCGTTTTAATGCATTGTTAATTAGAAAGCGATGATTCTAAACTTCCTTCAAATTCAGTAACAATAATTTTTTTCTAAAGGACACTGAATCATACACTGAAAAACAAGCAAACAAGCAAAACAAAACATAAAACACCTCATGGTTCAGATGGTTCAGGTTTCAATAGTTAACAGTCTAGAGGGAAAAAAAAAAAAAACATGACCATGAACTGAGGGTCGGAAGAGATGGCGATTTCAGCAAGAATGAAGTGAGCGTCTCTAGGGGCCAGGGCTACCAGGCGCACAGGCCACAGAGAGAATCTGCAGGTCGGAGTCACAGACTTAAGAACAGGACATGGGACATCATCAGACAGGCATCCTACAGAGGACGCTCTCAGTTGCCTTGCCCCTTGATTACCCGACTCCCGCAAAGTGCCACAAGCAATAGCAGAGAATGAAGCCTTCCTGCTGCAGGAACTAACGTTTTAACACGGGAGTCAGTTAGTCCACAGAAGTGTCTAGAAGTTCTTTGTTAAAAGTAAATAAACTCTGGGGAGAGAGTTCAAGGCTAGAGCACCTGCCTGTGCACTTTGACCTCTTACCAAACAAACAATATAAGCGTGCGTGTGTTGCATGCAATCAAGAGGTAGAAGACACAGGGGACAGTGAGTTAAAGTTTAGCCTCAATGGCCTGTGATACTGTGTTTCAAAAATTAATCATCATAATAATAATTTTAATAACTTTAAAGAGTATGTTATGAACTATTACTACAGTAGACAGTCTGCATGTGTCATGTGACCTGGGCATGTCATGTGACCTGGGCGTTGGCTGTTCCCGAGTGTCTTTGTTCTCAGTCTCTGTGTGGACACGGGGGCGGGATATTTTTCATTCCCCAGAAAGAACTCACACTTACAGAGCATTGATGGGCACTAATACGAAATAGATTCTGCAGCAGAGACTGGAGGAGAAAGATGTAGCCTCATAGACACCCCCCCAAGCAATTATCCAGCTCCTCAGACACCTCTTTCACTATTTAATTAGACACCGTCATACCTGAGAAGTGAGAAATTCCACTTAATTGGCATCGGGGAAAGGAGAAGGGATGTCAAAGAGAGCAGAGATTCCTGAGAGCGCAGCCTCTCGGGAATCAGACAGAGATGACGCTGTCCCGTGAAGAATGACTAAGAGGGGCAGTTAAGGCTTGAGAATATCATCGCCAAAGTCAGGGGCCGGGGGAAGAGGGGGTTTAACCAGAACAGTGTTTTCAGAAGCACCTGCTGTGGTTGGAAGAGTCTACTTCTGTGAGATTTCCTACGTAGAAATCTCTCTTTTCAGAAATTTTAGATGTACTATAGAGGTGTACTTCATTATTCCCAGGAAAGAACTGATCTGTTCGGGCTGGAGAGATGGCTCAGAGGTTAAGATCATTGCCTGTTCTTCCAAAGGTCCTGAGTTCAAGTCCCAGCAACCACATGAGGTCTGGTGCCCCCTTCTGGCCTGCAGGCATACACACAGACAGAATATTGTATACATAATAAATAAAATAGTTTTTTAAAAAAAAGAACTGATCTGTTCAACAAAGAAGACAAATTCTAATTGGTCCTAATATCTGATCCTTATTTTATCTATCCTTATGCTATAAACACAATAATCTGCATAAGGTAAACTTCATTACTAAATGAACTTAGTCTTAATAAAGCACAAGACAGCTCTTTTTGAGATGTGAAAATCCCAAGGGGAAATATTGTTTTTCCCTTCAGTGTTTCAGTATTTGGAATTACTCTTTGAAACATTAGTTGTAGTTAACTGTATTTCCACAAGAAGGCATTCAATCTTATTAATTTATATAATATCCACATGTCTTTTATAAATATATAAGGTGACCAGGCTGGGATTCGTGTTGGCATTGCTGCCATCTACAAGACAGCGTAGACCCAAGACAGCGTAGATTTTGCTCCATTAGAGACAGCGTAGATTATACCTGCTTTATGTGCTTCGTGTATCTGCAGGCTAGCTTGCCGACGCCCATTTTCACAGAAAATTAGACAAAATAAAATTGCAGTGTAGCCATACCGTCTTGGCATTACCCGACCAAATGATTTTGCTCTGCTACCCCTGATGGTGACTGAACCCCCCCAAATGCTGCCCCTGAGGGTGACTGAACCCCCCCAAATGCTGCCCCTGAGGGTGACTGAACCCCCCCAAATGCTACCCCTGAGGGTGACTGAACCCCCGCAAATGCTACCCCTGAGGGTGACTGAAACCCCCCAAATGCTGCCCCTGAGGGTGACTGAACCCCCGCAAATGCTACCCCTGAGGGTGACTGAACCCCACCCCCAAATGCTACCAGCAGACAATCTGTTTCCAGATGCTTCCTATCCCCAAGAAAGGACACCAGGCATATCCTCTCTAAGGAGCATCATTAGCACATTCAACACTTGGTATAGTTTTCTTAGAATGTTAAAGTATAACTGCTTTTTCTTTTAATATGTGTATATACACCTTACAGCTGGTGTCAGCATGGCGCCTGTTATAACGGAAGAGACACCCAGCAAACACAACAGGACAGAACTGCTCTTTACAGCCACTGCTTCTGTCTCACAGAACGCCGTTCAGGGCTCAGGTCACAACCTTTGTGAGACTTCCTGTAAATCCTCCTCGTCGGCCTCTGGAAATGCACGCCATGCTCTCCTGGCTGGGCGGTCTATGGTCATCTTCTCCCAGCAGGCCCACAGCGTCCCCTCCCTGTCTGTACAGGCAGGCTCTCTCCTTCTTCCTGAAGCTTAAGTACCCTCTGTCCTAATTAGTGGGGATCCCCTCAACTGGCCGGGCAGCTCTCTGTCCAACCCAGCAGGTTAGGAAGGATGAACAGATAGGATTGGAGTGGGGTTCAGCCGGAGTACTCTTACGTTGTGGTTTTTGTTGTTGGTTTTCTTACTATATATCACCGGCTGATCCTGAATTCATGGCAATCCTGCTGCCTCGGTTTCCCCAGTGCTGGAATTGCAGACATGAACCACCACACTTAGCTTTCTAGTCGTTTTTCTTAGTTTCACATGTAATTTTTTACATTTCAGCAAAAACACGCCGATGTCATTAAGGAAATCCAAGCAAAGGACCTGGAGATCAGACTGCACAAGAAGAGAAAACATGAAATTCATCGGAGGTAAAAGAATTTGGTCATGATTCAGCTGTTTGATTGGGAGAAAGGTGATATTTATCTTTCAGTTTTCAGAAACCGCTTCATGTTTCCCCCAGACTCAGAGAGTTCGCTGCGCTTTATGACACCATCAGAAACGAAAGGAATAAGTTTGTCAACCTCCTTCACAAAGCTCATCAGAAAGTAAACGAGATAAGAGAAAGGCACAAAATGTCATTAAATGAGCTGGAAATTTTAAGAAACAGCGCCGTCTCTCAAGAAAGGTAAGAGCCAAGCCAGCCGGAGTCCCCCCAAAGCCTTGTCCTCTGTAAGATCCTGGTGGTCATGGCAGAGGACAAGACTTTCAGAGGTGGGAAATCTATTCCCACATCGTGCTTCCCAGGTGGGCACACTTCCTGGTTTCTAGAGTCACCTATATTAATGAATGGAAAACTCCAACATAAAACTATGTTTACTATGATGATCTGCTGGTGTTCATTTGTCCACGGGCGGTGGTGGCACACACCTTTAATCCCAGCACTCGGGAGGCAGAGGCAGGCGGATCTCTGTGAGTTCGAGACCAGCCTGGTCTACAAGAGCTAGTTCCAGTACAGGCTCCAAAGCTACAGAGAAACCCTGTCTCGAAAAACCAAAAAGTATAAATCTGATCATCTGCAGGTGAAGTCAGAAGACAGATGGTCTCTTAGGTAGTGTCCCTGGTTGTAGGTTTGAAGCATGCAATGTGCATTTGGGAGACCACAGCAGATTTGCTAAGAGCAGCACTTGAAGGCTAAACTCACAGCTCAGTCAGACACTCTCTGTGGGGCCTTAGGCAGTCACCCCACTTCCCTGGACTCTTACCTTATACACGATCCTCGTCATTATTGTGTCGGATCTTTTGTTACTAAATGAGTTCATCTATAATAATACCAGACTGAATATCTGCCCTATGCCTAGATCTCCTGGACTCTTTCACCCAGTTAGCTCCTGATCGCCGGAGATGGCAGAACTGAATTTTTCTCTTGGCCACTATTGCCCAGTTGACTTTGATAAACGCAATACCGAATACCCTGACCTGAAGGGCATGAAAAAGAGAAATTTCATAGTCAGAGTCTTCCCTGGAAGGAAGTTAAAGTACCACATCCAGGCTGTGACGTCACCCAGCTTGACCCATGCTCCTAGGCTGAGTCCTCAGGTCCAATTAGGTGTGGGCATAGAAGCACCTCTATCCTCAGAACACGGATGTAGATTTGACAGAGATGGCAGAGGACCCTTTCACAAGAGGGTAGCACAGAGGCTGATACAATGACAGCACCCTCATCCCACGACAGGAAGTCCCGAAAGCACCGTGCAGGGATGTCATTTCGGGAGACACACTTTTTAGACTTGTTTTGCAGACACCTACAGTATTTCCGAGGAAAATGATCTCCCACCACTGTGCTGTTGTTTTAAAAGGAAGCTGCAGAACGCCATGCTGAAGCACGCCAACAACGTGACCATCAGGGAGAGCATGCAGAACGACGTGTGCAAAATCACCTCTAAGCTTCAGGAGATGAAGGAGAAGAAGGAGGTGCAGCTGACCAGTATGGACCGCCTGGCCAGCATGATCACCATGATCGAGGAGGAGATGGTGCAGCTGCGCAAAAAGTATGAGAAGGCCGTTCAGCGTCGAAACGAAAGGTAGGGGCCATAAACAGGCTTAGGCCGGGTGCCCGGGGCACCTCTGTAGGGGCCACGAACGGGTTTAGGCCAGGTGCCCAGAGCACCTCTGTAAGGGCCGCCAACGGGCTTAGGCCAGGTGCCCGGGGCACCTCTGTAGGGGCCGCCAACGGGCTTAGGCCGGGTGCCTGGGGCACCTCTGTAAGGGCCACAAACGGGTTTAGGCCAGGTGCCCGGGGCACCTCTGTAGGGGCCGCCAACGGGCTTAGGCCGGGTGCCCGGGGCACCTCTGTAAGGGCCGCCAACGGGCGTAGGCCGGGTGCCCGGGGCACCTACTGAGATGTAGCCATGTTCTTTACCCATGGGAGGGAGCTGGGTGCTTTGCCTTAAAAAAAAAAAAAAGACTCTGCGGAAGGGAAACAAAAAGGAGGGCTTGGACATTGGAAGATCAAAGTCTCTGAGACAATTGGACAGCGGGTTCTCAACCTTCCTGATGCTGAGACCCTTTAACACATACCAAAAAATTACTTTGTTACTGCTTCGTAACTGTAATTTTGCTACCGTTATGAATCACAATGCAAATATACGATATTCAGAATATCTGATATACGACCCCCCCTAAGGGGTCATGACCCACAGGCTGAGAACCACTGCTCTAGGGTAACAGTGAATCCTTCTGGATCAGCTGATGCGAGTTAACTCTGTAACATCTATCCATTCGGACAGCGTCCCATAAATAACACAGACTTAGGAGATGGCGCATTTCCTCCAGCCTGCAAGCGTTCGATTGGCAGGGTGACTCTTTAACAGCCCCACCCACCACGGTTGCTTGTGTTATGAGAGACTGATGGGTGAGATGTTCAGAAATAATTCAGATTTCATGAAATTTGTGTGGGACTTCTTCCAAAGCTCTGGAGTGCTGGCGCCTGAAGGGACAGGCGGGTAAAGCCTTGCTGTTGGCGTCTGTCCTCGAGGGGACTTGATAAGAAGCCACTCTGACAGACAGACGGGGCAGGTGGAGAACTAAGGTCAGCCAGGCACAGCGTGCACACCCGTTGGAGCGAAGGGCAGGTTTAGAAAGATTCAGTGGCAGTTGTGGTAACGGATACAGACGCTGTGGGAATGTCTTTAGGGTCCTTGACAAACAGAATGTTTTCAAAAGGCTAACGAATGTTCATTCTGGGGTTAAAAAAAAAATCCGATTTAGTTCCTGGCACAAGTCAAAGTCAGGTCCTGGTTAAACCGAAGCTGCCAAGGGGGGAGGGGTGGAATCTCACTGTGTGTCTATGCCATGGCTTCCTCCCAAGGAGGGGTATTCCCACTGCACCTGTCAGCATGGTTACAACGGGCAGGGCAGGGTACTGAGGGTCTGGTACCAGATCACTCACTTTTCACAGAACCTTACGGGCCTTAAGGCTGGCCACTCCCTCCAGAATCCCATTCCCAGATCTTCCAGCTAGACCCTGCTTGACCCAAGAAAGATGTGCAGAAAAATCAGCCTTGGGTTTTGCTTTGTTTACATACTGGGAGCGAACTCCCCCACCACAGGGAAACCTTCAGGGCTCATCAAGCTCTGTTCGTCCTGCTGAACAACTGGCCTTAGGATGGAGATGCCAGCCTTACCCCCAGGAAAATCCAGTGTGTGGAGCTTAACTGGCAACCCACTGGGGCATGGCACTGTCTTCTGAAACGCTGTTGTGTTGATGTTGTGAGTCCAAAGCCAGAGGGAATCCCAGGAAGTAGGAAACAGAGGCCTCAGCACCCACTTAGACCCTTGCTCTGAATTTGACCGCAGTGGTGTTCAGCTGATAGAGCGCGAGGAAGAAGTGTGCATTTTTTATGAGAAAATCAACATCCAAGAGAAGATGAAACTCCACGGGGATGTGGAGATCCACGTCCTGGATGAGAAAATCCGATTCCTGAAGCTGAAGATCGCCGAAAAGCAAAGACAGATTTGCGTGACGCAGAAGCTGCTGCCCACCAAGAGGGCCCTTGATGCCGACCTGGCGGTGCTGCAGATCCAGGTGGGTGAGCGGTCAGGGGCGCCTCCCTCAGCCGCTGGCCTGTCTCCTTCCCCTTGTTAGTCTGTAGATGATACGGGTTCTTGCGTGGAAGCTGCGCCACACCTTTATGTTGTACGATGTTTGAAGCCGACTCTGAATGCTGCTGCAGGATGCGGTTTTGGGAGTCTGAGCCAAATAGGTTTTGTTTTGTTTGTTTGTTTGTTTGTTTTATGTTTTTCTCATGAAGCATCGTCTGTTTCTTGGGGTCTGGGCCAAGTTCATCATTCCTATAGCTCCATCCAGAGAGATCTAGGCTCTTACTACCTGCAGCCTAATTTTGGCATTGATATAGCTGGAGACCACCTAGATTTGACGTTTAGTCCCCTTGGCTTATTGAGGCCTCTTTTGGTCTGATACACCTGTATAGCCCCGCCTTCCGGCTTTTCAATTTTTATATATTTATTGAAGAAACCTGGTCAAACTATAAACTATAGACATTAGTATATGTATGCTATGTTTATACAACACTGGAGAAATTATAAACTCAATCGACATATATAAAAGAGTTGTTAACTGTAGTTAAATTTTATCTTAATTTCATGTGTGTTTAAATTGGGTGTGGTGGTGCATACTTGTAATCCCAGCACCTGAGAGGCTGAAGCAGGAGAATTCTTATGACTTTGTCAAGCATATATAATAAGACCTTGTAACAGAGAGAGAGAGAGAGGGAGAGA